GGGGGGGGGGTTGCTTACAAAGGAACACCATTGAGCTGAGACGTCCTCCTGAATGAGGTGAGCTGAGACGTACGACCGGATCGATAAACGGATACGAGTATCCCAGCCTGCCGAGCTCAGCAGAAAAAAGAGCGGCAATGGGAACAAAAAACGAGGGGGTGCAGAAAAGACCCCCCCATCTTATTCTCCTTCACCTTCTTCCCCTCCCTCTTCTTCTTTGTTTTTTTATTCCTCTTCTCCTTCTGCTTCTTCATCTTAATTTGTTCCTCAACACTACCCCCTCTACCAACATCGCCTCCCATCCAGTCACCCCCCCTCCTCTCTCTGTGTCTCTATCCCTCCTTCTCTGCAGCAGACTAGAGCGCAGTCAGCTACTACGGGGACTGCAGTGTTACGCTATAGCACAAGCAGAGAGTTGGGGAGGGGGGAGGGGGGGTGCAGGGTGGAGGGGGCTGGGGGGACTGAATAGCGATAATAAGCAATCCAGTACTCGGCTCTGAAATCGTGGTAATAAAGCAGCACGAGCTGTCAGTGGTGACGACGGGGAGACAAGGAACGGGGGGAGGGGCAGGGGAACGACTGTACACACTGTAGAAAGGACGTGAGGAAACACAAGGATGACAAGAAATGGAAAACTTGCTACCCATGCAAATATTTGTGAATGCGTGAATCGAACACCTGAGCATTTTCTTCTTCTGCGGCTGCGACATTTGGCAGCTGTGATCTTAACCAAGCCAAAACTGAGCTGGTCACCCGACCATGTCCCACCTGACAACTGCTGCTGCTGCACCGGCCGCCCCTCGCCACCCCTTCCAACCTATCTTTATGTCCCCGCGTTGGCACTGAAACTATTGACTGCAACATTTTCAAAGTCACCTCAGCTGTCACACTGATACTGTCCCAACACCACCCCGGTGCTCAATTTGTCTTTTTTTTCTGTCACCCTCTTTGGTTCTTCGATCGCTTGTTTGGCAGCCATTTAATTTTCTGAGCCATCAAGTTTTCTGCATGAAAAAGCTGCACAAGTCAGGACCAGATTTTTTTGGTCAAACCTCCACCCTTACAAATGAAATGCAGTTGCAGCAAAGACCAGTGTCCAGAACACTGCAGATTTACACCTTTTGTCTCTTTTTTATTTAACAATAATAAAAACCAGAGGCCTTCTTTGAATACGTCGCCCCTTGTGAAGAGCTCACATACCTCACACACCATGTGGAAAATAGCAAGTGTATCTTTGGGACTCCACTTCTAAATGACAAGATACATTCAAGTCATTTACATAGATTGCGACAAACACCTGCAAGCCAGTTGCAGTTCTTGACTTTTGCAGAAGTGAGAGACAGAGTTGGGTACCGATTTGCATTGTCAGTGTTAGCTCAGTTAACACTGACACTGATAACTGGAAATGCTGCACATGCAGGCGGCTTATCATTTTTTTTCTATGCAGTATTTATGTTAGACTTCTTCTCCATTGAGGAGTTGCCTGGAGTCAAAAGTTGAATCTGCAGATTGATTTGTTTGAAATGTATTTCCACAAGACAAGGTGTTTTCAAAGGGCGTTTGAGGGTTAAGACTTGCCTTTAGGTTTGAGGTTAGAATTTGACATTTAGTTGTGATGTTTAGGTTATGGTAAGGAGCTAGGTAATGTCCATCCTTAAAGTCACACAGGACGGAGTCAATATGCTGTCTCTGTGCGTACAGCAGAGTCCACAGAAAATACACCTCAACACACAATGATCCAGGTCAGCACTGGCCTCTAGCTCTGCAAATGGCCATAGATTATTTTAGAGAGAATTTAGCAAGAGAAGGTCGAAGCAGACGTGGGTGAGAGGTGAGTACACAGGGAGAGAGGATGGAAGTGAGTAGGGGAGGGAGGATTGAAAACAAGCAAGATGGTAAAATTATAAGAAGGATAAAGACATTAAAAGAAAGGTGGGAAAGCAAAAGGGATTCTGAATACTTTTTTTATTTCCAACCAACTGCACATATGACGTTGTAAAAAGAACATTGGGATTCATTTGTGTTATATCTTAAATTTCTATAGGACAAAAATACTTGAATGTGTTTTTGTTTGTACGGTGTGTTCATATAAACATGGCACATCAGATTCAGCAAACACTTCTAACTTAAGAAAAGTGTGTTAATGACCTACGTAGTCAGCTTGTTGTGTGAGTGCTCCTTTCTTGTCTGAAGAGGTATTATGAGCTAGGGAGTTAAAGCATGAATTTATAATTATGTTTATTTAGAATTATATAATAATTTGAATTGCAGATATAAACAGGAAAATGTGTGGTTTATTTATTTATTTAGAATTGCTTCGAACTAACGAAATATAGGATCCATTAGTAAAAAACCTTAACCGAATAATAGCGGACAAATTTCACGTGAATCTTCAACAGGACCACTTGTAAATTGTGTTCATACCTGAAAGACAATTGGCAAATATGACAAGTTCTCCTAAATCCCTCATATGCACCACACGGAACAAATCTGTTTGTGTGACGAGTTCTTGCATGAAGCCCATTAATAGAGGCAGGAAGTAATGTATAAATTCCACTGCAGGTTCACATGTTTTCGTTTGTAGCACATTGACACCATCATCTGCCCATATCCCCAAATTCTCTATTGATCTGTGTCTGTGTCCTCTACCTGTGGGGCCCCTGCTTTTTCATCAAGAGATATTTGCAGTGTTATTGTTCTATTGTTTTCATTTTTGCCTCTGTCACGTGCTAGAAACATCATCAACACAATCACTTGCTGACAGTGAATCCCGCAGAGGATCCTCTGCTGTGTTCTCTCCTTTGCACCTTCTGCAGACTTCTTACTTGGGGACTGGCCGGAGAAAGTCCACAAAAAGTCCAGAGGCTTTCAATTCGGACATTTGCGTTCACACATGTAGGTCCTCTGGAGAATGTCTGAAGGATTTCCAGAGTTCAGTTCATGTCAGAAAGCAGCTATAGTGTGTAAAAACGGTATTGGTTGCGCAAAAAAGCTGATCAGCATTTTGTTGAAGTAGACAGGTAGGTTTTAAATATGATAGCAGGTTCCCCACCAATTGTAAAAAGCACAACAATGGCTGATGTGCTCTTTGCCAGAGGGAATATCAGGATAGAGTCAGGATAGCAAATACCAAAATATGTTTAATAGTAAAAACTTAAAACTCAGTGACTAATGACTCAGACGCTGTCACTATGTCAACCTGTCTCTGTCCCTCGACCTCCTGTTAAGGGTTAGGGTTGCTCACCTGTAAACACCTCACCCACACACATGAGGTTTTGAAGACCCTGGTTAAGAGAAGCCAGGTAGAAATGGAGGCTAACAGTTAACTTACCAGGAGACACCATTAACCACTTCAACTCAGGAGGGAGAGAGGGTTGTCTACTAACCACAAGGTTGGTGGTTTGATCCCCATTCCAAAGTGTCTCTAGGCATTGTCCATTGTCATTGACCTTGGGCAAGATAATGCAACCCCAAATTCCTCCTGACGGCTTGTCAACTGTGTATGAATGGTGTGTGATAGAAAAAGCACTGTATATAGAAGCGCTGTGTGTGTGAATGGGTGAATTTAACTTGTACTGTACAAAAGTGGTATATAAATAGGCCTACAGTCTATTTATCATATATCTTTATACTTGGCTAAAGAGGAATTCATACAGAGCTTGCATTTCTATGTAATTTGTGATTTGCAGTGTTGTTTGATACAACTACTGAAAGATGAGACCTGTCCACTTAGCGTTTTAGCTTCATTGGATCCGGACATTCCTCATGTCGCCCTCTGTGATGCTAGAACAGTGACGTCTGCAGTAAATAATCGTATGTTACGTGCTGTCAAGCAGCGCAGAATATTCCAGGTCAAATTCAAAGCAGCAATATGTTTGTCTCAAAATAAAGGGGTAACCATGGCATTTTGATTCATCAGTGTTGTGCTCTGATCAAATCTGGATGGACATGTATCCATCAGCAGATTAAAACAATCACTCAAGACCAGCCACTTCTTATCGACTGCTATGTAAGCTGGAGGAAGAACGGTGTTTAATAGCACAATAATGTTTGCCCCATCAGCTACCACACACACACACACACACACACACACAAACACACACAGTGTCTTAACTACATGGACATAAGCCTTCACCTTCTGGAATACATAAATGCCACACACATGAGTAAACACAAATGCATCCAAGGCTCTTTATGCACCTGTTCACTTTCACACACACAAACACACACACACACACACACACACACACAAAGCCACATACTGAATAAAGTGTGAGGATGTAGCTGTACAGGATGCAATTTTATTTCCATATTGTAGAGAGAGAAAGTGGATGAATGGATGCGGGATCACCTTCATCCGTTTGGATTTTCACCTTCACTGACTTGGCTGATCACTGGAATGTGGCACCGTCCACAGTGAATGTGGACTGATCGAGGAGAGAACTGGATCCCACATTATAGAGATGTGAATACTGTGCTTTTGAGTGAGAAGCAGAAAGAAAAAAGAGAGGGGGGAAATGACTGGGAGAGATTCAAGGGAAAATAGAGGAGGGGAACTCAGAGAAACTCTGCAGTGAACTCGTCAACCAGAACAGCTTAAGCAATTACTTTATGCGCAACAATGCGCAATGGCCAAAACGGTGCCAAACGTGGATGTGTCCGCCGCAAAGAAAGAAAGAAAGAAGGAAGGAAAGAAAGAAAGACGCTTGGCCACTCACCCGGGCATATTTGGAGGAGTAGGGGTCCTCGAACAGCGCCCACATATTGGGCTGCCACACCTCCCACCACGTCGCCCTGCGGCCGTCCTCCTGCATGCACAGCCGCTTCAGGTCACCGTCCGCCCCGCCGGTGAGCGCCGGATCATCCTCGGGTGCGTCCGGCTCGGGCTGCTCGAAGCTGTCCAGGGCTTCCTCAGCGTCGCGATGCTGCCGGTAGTTCATCCAGCAACACGCCTCAACGTCCGTCTCATCAATGCCCCAGAAGGCGAGTTCCTCCTCGAAGAGCGGCCCGCATACATCGTTGGGGCAGTGCAGCTTCCCGGTGCGGTAGTAGTTTAGGATGAAGGCGAAGGTGGCCGGGTGGCGGTCGAAAAAGAACTCGTCGGACTTGGGGTCGTAGTCGAAGTTGCTGTAGGCGTCGGGCTCCGTCAGCCAAGACAAGCGCGTCCCCGGCAGCGTCTTCAGGGTGCTCCGGTAGGTCTCGTGTCGGATCCCGCCGCAGTTGATCACGATCTTCTCGCTATCTGACGCCGAGCAAGTCATGGCTGCACTGGAGCATGCTTCGGTCGGTGCGCCCGACTGCTGCTGCTGCTGCTGCTGCTGCTGCTTCTACTGCGCCTCCCCATCCACACCTGTCCCCGCTCTGCAGGCTTCTGTTATACCGTGTCCACCAGGAGTCACAGGACAGACTGAGAGGAGGAGAGAGGAGCAGTGGAAGGAGGAGCGTGTGAGTGTGTGTGCGTGTGTGTGTGTGTGAGAGAGAGAGAGAGAGAGAGTCTGCAAGTGCGACCGAGAGAGAGAATCAGTGGGATGCGGATTTTATGAATCAATAGATATGCCCGTTGAATGACTGACTGTCTGAATGACTGACTGGAATCATTTTACTAGATTATTTGACGCCATTAAGGTCAGAAACTACCATTTCTGTTGAACAAATCCATTCCCATTCTCCCATAATGTTACTAGATTTTGCTGCATCCTTAACTATAAAGAAATGTAATTAACCAGAGAGCAAGAGAAAGAAGTTAGGCCTGTTTTTTTTTTTTGCTGCAAACCCTCATGGCCAGAAGCACCGACAGAACCATCCATGAGCATCAGTGTGCAGCAGGTTCGGACCTGCATGGCTGCAGGGAGTAGTGGGTTCCTGCACTGATTTTAGAGGTCTGGTTTGCAGAGAATGCTCCAGTTCATCCTAAAGGTGTTGGATGGGATCGAGGTTCCGCCAGTCAAGCGCCAACTTTGTGCACAGGTGTATTTTTTATGTGGAAACAGCAAAGTGACACAAATTTTAGACAAAAAGATAGAAAGGACCCAGGGAGTTCGAAGAAAAACAGTGGGCAAATGCAGGGTGATGGTGAGAAATTATCCACATGCTCTGTAAAGAATTAAGTTTACCAGTTCATGTTATGTAAAAGTCATGACAACTGTAGAATTTACATTTTATTGGAAATATGTGGCCTTAACCAAGAAACACAGACTTAAAGTACAAAAAAGTATATGGACAGCTTTCTCCTATGACAAGATTTACAAGTGGGTAAAGTGCATAACGGACATGGGACCCCAGAACTCCAGCAGAGTAATGGTGAAATGCATTTGACTAGTAAAGGTTTGTCACCTCACCACCTCTTTTGAGCCAGTCTGGGCTGGTGTCAGAAGCTACAGATGAATCTCCAAGAAGACATGATAAACAAGCAAGCCTTCGCTGATGATGGGAACTCATTTAATCTGTTGGGAAACATCATAACCACAATGGACATGGGCAGACACACAACACAATATTGGAAGTGAATAGGGCCAATCTTTGCAAGCACCCTTGAAGAGTAAGCTCATTGTCACACTGTAAAGACTCTGCACACTGTAAAGACTCTGACCACACCAAGGCTCAGGCAGGCCAGAGCCAAAGTATGTATGTTTCAAGGGGTGCACAGATCTGCCTTTGGCATCTAGCGTCATCGCTCAAATAGTTCCTTAAGCCATTTTCAGACAGAACTCATGAACATATCTGTATCATTTGGTCTGAAGATTCCCTGTCACAGAGGATTCTCCAGTCAGATGTGTTCACCACAACAGAAAAATCTCTGTAGTGTTCAGACGAGGCGTGCTGCAGCCTGCAGCAGGCAGGACGTAACATCCCGCCGGTGTCTTTCCAAGTTGACCTCTTTGTCAGTGTCTTCTGTGTGTATGGCACAGCTTTTTAATCCTGCGATTCTTGTTTTTTTTTTTTTTTTTTTTTTTTTCACATGTATGATGAATGCAGCGGGATATTGTCTGGATCAGATACGTTCACAACAGCAGGAGGCAGGAAATGACAAGTCGAATTATTTCTGCATTTTTTTCATTTTGCATCCATCACATGTTAGAAACGTCATCAACGCGCCCACTCACTCAAAGTGACTTTGACTTGACTTCAAGGAAAAATTGAAAATGAGCAGCCAGATTATACTTACAGGTAATAAATGGATACCGTTTCTCTGAGGTAAAACATTTTAACCTCAAACTGTATAAAAGGGATTCCTTTGCGACAGTAACATTTTTGATGTGATTGTGTGTCTGCAGTTTTTAAAATATATCCCATCACATGTGGATGATTAAACCTACCTGTAAAAGATCTCAAGACAGCTGAAATACTAGTGCCAGTGTCTCAACACTGTAAAATGTGGTCTCGTGTTGTGAATAAAAATGAGTCTTCTTTACTAAACTCTCATCTACCCTCTCTCTCTCTCTCTCTCTCTCTCTCTCTCTCTCTCTCTCTCCTTCTCTCTCCGCTGCATCACTCCCTTCGACCACACGCTCTTTCAATCTACTAAAACACTTGGCTCAATTAGAGCAGAGAAGAAGGGATATGATAGAGTGTTTCACGCCCACTGCCCATTCTCTCTCTCTCTCTCTATCTCTCTCTCTCGCTCTCTCTCACTTTCTGTTTCCAAGATAGTCCCTCCATCAGCAAGAGAGAGAGAGGGAGGGAGGCCAGGAGCAGAATGAGTATTGCTGAGCTCCACAAAATGGGGAGAAAAGACTGCAGACCATCAGATCATTAGTGCTCTGCCATTTCCTCTCTCTCTCTCTCTCTCTCTCTCTTACCCCCCCCCCTATCTCTCGCCCCCTCTCTTCTTCTCTCACAGTGTATTCTCTCCATTTCTTTCTCCACTGCCCCCCTCTCTCCAGTGTAGAGCTAATGTGCTGTGTTGGTCTATTGAGAGCAGTCTGCAGCACTGTGCTCTGCTGTATAGCCTCTACGTCACACATACAACGTAGGAAGCCATGGCCTCAGATAGTGGAATACCCTAAACCACCCATGGGTATCCAAACTCATGCATAGTCTAGCTTGGAATAAGGACCTCCTCACCAGCCTGACCTGTTCAATAGAATCAGTTAGTACAAAATGTAGTAAGAGAAGTCCAAAGCCACATTCCGATTGGATTCACATCAGGGTAATCTTGCCTGTGCTGGTTGGTGTTTTCGTGATGGTGAAATGACAAAATGGGGTCTGTAGCTGAGGTGGACACTCAGTAGGACAGCCACAAGGGACTGACACAGGGGTGGGTGCGGGTGGGGGCAGGACTGCTGAAAAGGATTTAATGACACTGCATGCGGTGAATTTGAGTCAAAATCATAGTCTGATGAGTAGACAGACATGAATCACACTGTGATAATCATTCAGTGTAGCATTATCTCAGACACCATTAAAAAAATAGGAAATTTGTTTTCAGTATCAAACACAGTGATAACTGTTGGAATACCTGAGTATTTATCGCAAACAGGAACTACTAATAACTAGCTTTAATGGCATGAATCCACCAAAATGTAAACAAATATGAACCAAAAACATGGCTCTAGAAAGGATTGCATAACCTGAGTTTATATGGGGTCTTGCTCTAATCATATTGATTCCCAATATGCTCCTCGTACCATGTTTCCTTATATCAGATTAACAAAAAGATTTTAGACATCTTCTATTTAAAAAATGTAAAGAAGCAGTTATTATCATTGTTCTTATTTCTGCAGGTATTTGGTTATAAACCAAGGAGCAACATAAAAATGAAATCCACAATTCTCCCTTTAGTTGTGATACATTATCAACACACAATAAATTTAATAATAATAACATTACATGCCTCCATACTGCTGGCCTGGTATCATTTAAGTGTCCGGAAGCCCTGACATTAAAATTCGAAATGGCATCATTTACAGCATGCTTTCAGTCTCTCTACGGGGCACCCCCCACACCCTTGGGCGAGAGCTAATGTGCAGTGTATGCGTGAGAAGGTGAACGCAGCTCCAGAGGAGGATCTCAGAGGATTAAAAAACCAAGATGTAATAACTTCAACACTTAAAAGACATGCTTGAAGGTGGATTTTGTTCCTCTTGGACCTAGCCAGGCTAGCTGTTTCCCTTGTTTCCCTTCTTTGTGCTACGTTTAGCTAACCAGATACTGGTTGTAGCTTTATATTGAGAGGGAAATGTCAGTGTTATCTATTAGACAGCAAACAGGCATCATGGGAATTGGAGTGCTGACTTTGGTGCAATGTGGAAACACCATATGTTCAATATTGATACAAAAAAAATTAATAATGAAGTAACCAGCACTCTAGCAGTCAGTGTGCGTGTGTGTGTGAGTGGGAGGGGGAGGGGCAGCATGACTTAACAGTGGACCGAGTTGAACATTTCTTCTCTTACAACTACAGATTAACAACAGCAGCGGTCAGCAGCTTGGTCAAACCACTGGTCAAAATTTCAGAGAGGTCATTTTGATAGTATGACACAGACACAGGTGCAGCAGGTTCTGACTTCATCATGGTGACAACAGTCATAGAATAACGCACTGTTTGGCAATTTGTTTTCACAGTAAAAGCACAAAATTTTATTGCTGCTGTTTTACATCCAGCTGAATTACAGAGTTTTTATTTTGAAAATCTGTGAATTTGGGTGTGAAGATTGCTTAACACATCTCTGAAATAGCTGAGATGTTGTGTATGAAAAAATAAAAGCAGTTACATAAATTATTCAAGCTTATAAATAGGCCACATAAATGAACAATGATAAAATTTCATTTTATGAAAAACATTAACAACTAAATCTTTATAAACTGTAAACCAGAGGTTTGGACTTGAGTCGCTTGACTTGGACTCAAGTCATGATTTTGATGACTTCTACAAAATCTCGCAACTCCACTTGGACTTTAACCCCAATGACCCAAGACTTTACTAAGACTTGATCTCATTTGCTTGTAATGACTTGAAACATTTCAGATGTAAAAATAATAATTATCTAAGGATTTTTGATATTTCCCGTGCTGTATTACATTGCTCTATGTTCTTACTTTGATGAATGAGAACATTATTACATATTGTTAAGTCACCCACACACCTCACTCATTCATTCACTCACCCCCAGAGCATTAACACAGGACAAACAAACAAGCAGGTGTAACAGGCTCTGCACGGGTTCCCTCGATGTCCTTTCTTTTCTTTTTTTACCATAAAACTGCAGTGCCGTCACTGAGTCTAGATTTGTATTGCTTTAATATATACCTGTACAACTGATGACCTTCACCTGGACGTTTTGCAGTAATCAACCAACATTACCATGTTTTCATGTTAAACTAGGAACAAAAGCCTGTTAAAATTTCCTTAACATTTAGCTTAAAGCTGTGGAAGGTAGTGCATCA